GCTGAGCCACCTCTCCAGCCCCCTCTCTCCATTTTTTACAGCCCATCAAAGCCAGTTTCTTTTCCCTGAATAACCTTTGGTGTAGGTCCATCCCGTGGAAAGTGGTCAGTGTACTCAGCATCACACCCTTAAGAAAAACTGATCCTCCTCCCAGCAGCTATCAAGTGCTAACAGTTCCTCTGCTAGGAATGGGCTTTTGTCTGTTTGGGCTTACACAAGTCTTGTACCTGCAGTTACAGCGACTATTGGTTTATATGTGCAACTTAGGATTCCTCTCTGTCTGGAAAATACTGTTTCTTCTTATTCATTCATGACCTCAAGCTCTTAAAAAATTCTCCACCTGTTCTTCTGAGATGCTCCCTGAGCCTTGTGTAGAGTGGCAGATCCTGTTTCTTGGTGGTTGCTGTGATAAGACACTGACCAAGAGCAACATGGGGCAAAAAGTGTTTACTTCATCATATGCTTCCAAGACACTGTTCATCACTGAGGGAAGTCAGGGCAAGAATGTAAAGCAGGAACCTGGAGGCAGGATCTAAAGCAGAGACTGTGGAGAAAGGCTGGGGACTGACTTTCTTCCCCCATTCCCTCAGCTACTTTTCTTATACAGTCCAGGCCCATCTGCCCAGGGATCCAGCACACACAATGGGCTCGGTGCTCTTTCACCAATTAGCATTCAAGAAATTGTGTCAGTTCAGCATAATGAAAATTGTATCCACGAACGCATGATGACTTTGCTGTTCTTGTTATTATGTTTTCATTAATTTAATTTGTAGTATCATTCACTTCTTTGTCTTTCAGAAACCCTTGTCATTCAGTGATGTAGCCATTGATTTCTCTCCAGAGGAAAGTGAATGCCTGAATCCTGCTCAGTGGAAGTTGTACAAGGATGTGATGTTGGAGAATTACAGCAACCTTGTTTTACTTGGTGAGGATCACTCCTGTAGTAGATTCTTAATCCACTGTCAGCATCAAACCTCCTCCTTTGTAGAATGTCTTGTGAGAGCTTTGCTTTCACTCAGGGAGATTCATATGCCTACGTAAAGAAACGGGGATAGAATAGGTGAGAAAACATTTGTCGTCTCGTGTTTTCAAGTCTCTGTTTTGGAAGTGTGCGTCCTTTACTGCTGTTAAAAATTCAGTCGCCTAAGGCACGGAGGATGCATGTTCAAGTAAAATGTTTTTCCTTTTATTTTTAATATTTTTACTTGTAAATGAAGCTCAGGAGAAGAAACTTCTAAGCATTCGAATTTCTCTTTGGAAACATTTCAAGACCTAATTTCTATAATAATTTGTTATGTCTCCTCTTTTCTTGTAAGGCCAATACTGGAATACTAATGTGAATTCTCAGGAGAACACTACACAGACAGTCTTGTATCTTTTTCCTCCAAACAGGTCTTGCTTTCTCTAAACCATCTTTGGTCACATTTCTGGAGCAAAGAAAAGAGCCTTGGGATGTCAAGACACAAGTTACTTTAGCCATCCACACAGGTCTGTAGGAGTAAAATTAAGAGTTCCGAATATCAAATACGAGTAAAATTCTGATTCCAGACCTTATGTTTTGATGGAAATCATTTGTCAGTTCTCTACATTTGTTTCTTTTGCTATGAAAGAAGGGCATCTATTAGGTATTTATGTTACTTTTAAGTTACCTAAACTTTCTTACCTTCTAGTAAGGTCTATGTATTTATCATGACTGCCAAAGTTCATTTTCTCTGAGAGTCTGCATTGTAAACAGATATTTTACTCTTTTCGCTCCCTCCCTCCCTCCTTCCCTCCCTCCCTCCCTTCCTCTCTCTTCCTCCTTCCCTCCCTCCCTTCCTCTCCCTTCCTCCCTCCCCTCCTTCCTCCCTCCTTCCTTCCTTCTATCCTTCCATCCTCTCTCCCTCCCCTCTCCCTCCCTCCCTTCCTTCCTCTCATTTTATGCCTATAAGTGTTTTTCCTGCATGAATGACAGATACTTTTTATGGACATTCTATTTATTATGTCATTCAGCATATCTTTT